TTTCCAAAAATGCATAATAATGTCATACAGCACTCACTGATAAATGTGTTGCATTTATTGTGTGACAAGGAATAACATCAACATCCATAATGATAAGTGATACATGTTTGTCATGAAGTATTTCCTTCCTGGGAACAGTGCCTTTGTCAACACACTTATTGTGGCAGTGGTATTGATGGCTATGTTTATATAATTAATATGCTGTTCCACTTTATTTTTGTGATATTCTCAGATTAAACTGATTTCTGCAAAGGGTATTAGGTAGGTCTGGTCCTCTTTGTATTGGGAGGATCGGCAGGATGAATTAGAAAATGATGTTGAATTTAACAAAACTGAATTTAAGAAAGAAATAAACAGACTGGACAGGATGTGTAATATAAAATGAAAAGAATATTTATCACCAAGACAAAAACACATTGTGTGTACTTGTTTTCTGGATGCTAAAGAGTTGCCTCTTACAGGACTTATGAATTGATCAACTGGCTCTCTTCCTTTAAGATGTTTTCCCATCAACCAATTCACTTGAGCTCCTAAGTAGTTGTTTTGAAATCTAATGTTTCTAACCTAATAAAAAACACTGGGTTTACCCATAGCATTTAACACTACCTACATGACTGGTTGTTTTCATTCAACAGAGAGGCTGTAACCTCTAGATATCATCCACCCTACCAATCAAAGACACTACTGTAATCTACAATTTTGCACAATGAGCAGCATTGCAGCAAAATACCCCCTCACAGGCTGAGAAGGTATTCTCTCTAAAGAAGAATAAAGGAACCTAGAATGATTTCAGCTTAAAAATGTGTTGGACCACCTATTATGAGAAAGCTGTAGAGATTCAGAATAAATGAAAAATTCAACATTAAAGTAGCATTGTTTGTAAACTGATTTTTTTTTGTGAAGTTTCCATATTTATTTCCACTGCTGTGTATATAATGTGTACAACTCTTTATAACAAACTTTGAATAACATATAACCTTAGGAATAACTGATTAATCATTTTCCTTTTCACATTCATAAAAGAACAACAACATTTGTGGATTTATAACAGAGAATTACTTGTATGTGCTACATAAAATATAGCCCTTGGAATCAGTTATTTTAAAACACTTAGGAATATTTATTAGTCAGTCCAAGGAAACCAAATAATTAGCTATTACTATTACTAAGTAATTATCTTATTCATCTGGCCATTTACAGACTTCTGTCACCATTCTACACACACTTTACAGGCCCTTACTAGGCAAGTTCTCTTACCTTTACAGGGGCCCTATTCTATGTCCCAGTATCTGACTAGGATATACTTATACACAAGTCTACACCGTGGGGCCATTTGGGTCTGATAATATTCACTGATGAGATAGGGTGTTTCACCAGACCAACAGAGGTATTCTTGCAGTATATAATTTACTAAATAAGGCCCAGTCCAGGTTGTACCCACTTGGGCATTATCATGAGTAAAGCAGTGTCAGGATAGCTGCCCATCCCTCCAGTCCTAGTTCAATGAACCGAGACTGGCCTGCTTTTAAATATAGAGTTTTTGTGATTACTTGTTGCATGCCTCTGGGCTTCCCAATGTGCTTTCACCCTCCTTTTTTTTTTCTAGTTGAGTACAGGAGTTCAGGAGTTCTTGCCACTTACCAATTCCAAGCTGAGTGTGACAAATTCCATTTGATAGAGAGTAGGCCAGTGGTGTTCTCTTGGTGTAGGTGAAGGGTCTGCATCATCTACTGCAAAACGGATGAAAAATTCCCAATGCCACCTGGTTTTGGACTTGAGATGACTCGCACTTCATCCTTCTTACTGGCTTCCCCCATCCTAATGCTGCCTAGATGTTGGTTCCTGGACAGTTTAGTGTTGGATAGATGCTGGACCAGCCAACCATTCATGTTGTTGGTAAGGGACCTCCTTCTCTTATTGCAGACCGGATAAAAAATACCTGATGACATTTGGTTTTGAACTGGAGTTGAATCACCATGTATGCTTTCACCCATCCTACCATTGCCTGAATGTTGAGTTCTCAGGTGGTCTGGTGTTGGATGTGTGCAGGAGCAGCATACACATGAACACTCCCTCAGTTGGTAGAATGGTGGTTACTTTTCCATTCTGCTTCTTGAGATTGAGGTGAAGATTGTAGAAACCCTCCTCTTACTGCAGACTGGTTGAAAAAATACCCATTGCCACCTGGTCTTGGATTGGAGTTGACCCACCATGTACGGTATGATGCCCTAGCCACACCATTTGGTACGTGTATGTTACATAATCACATTCTAGACTGTGCTTGTTGTCTGCCCAAATTAGTGCTTGAGGTGTGCCCCTATATTTTTCTATAGTTAAGGTGACACAATCCATGGGTTACCTTCAGGCACTTTTCAAAAGGGCTCATCTAGGTAACTTTTGCATTTAGTTTTACTTTTAAACTGAAAAATCTCAATAATCTGACTTGGTATTGCTTCATCATACAGTCTTTTAATGCAACTTTAACATTTGTATCGAGGTGTGGTTAAAGTTATCTTCTCTGCTCAATATTGATGAGTATCACACTTATGAGTTGGTTCATGGGAAAAATTTTCTGTGATCTCTGCTGCAGAGTTTGTATCTATGAACTCTACTTTCTCTGCATCCTGAAATTTCTTTTTCTTTTATGTCTTTTTGAAAAAGATCATGTGAAGGTTTGCTTTCAGTTTTATAGGAACAAGCTTGCAAAGTGATCTGTAAGTTTAATAAAAATATTTCTTTTTAGGTTTTCAGGTCGATTGTCTTGTTTTAATATGAAACTAATATAAGTCTTGGTCCTGTAAAACAGATTGAGGTTTTGTATCATTGAGAATGTTGTATTTTCAGTTACACTAATTTCCTACAGATAGAAAAGTAACAAGTAAGAGATTGGTACAAAATGGATAGTAGAATTAACCTGAATTGAGGAAAAACATGGACACAGGTCCCTTGATAAAGCAAAAACACTATTTGTTCATAATACACTAGACAAACAAATGAGACAATACACTTCTTTCTGAGAAAATTAAGAAATCCGTATCAGTCAAAATCTGAGAATGTAACTACTTAGAGAGTAAAATATTGTATATTTATTTGAATAAATTCTAAATCTTCCAGATTATATTTGTCACTCACAATCATCTGGTTACCCCACCAGCAAAAGTATGGAAAATGGCTTTCAGGCATTTTTAAACCTCTACATGACAGATGCTACTAGGGAACATATTAGCACAATCTTAAGGAATTATTCAGTGGCATCTTCCTTAGGAAAATCAAGAAATACCAGAGGGGGAATGACCCTTGAAAGTGTGTGTGACTAGCAAGAATAATTTCAGCATATTCCAAAACTTGTTATCTGAATGTCATATATTCAGCGTGTCAGGCAACTTGTGTAAATCCAAAAATGTTAAATTCTGTTAAACATGAAATGTATCTACTTCTGAACACAAAGAAAAACAAATACTTGGTATGTTTTACATACCACCTGAACCAAAAGTTCCCACTGGTTGACATCTGCTTTGTGTTGACATAATCTAGAAAAAGAAATGCCTAGCATGTTTCACATGCAATGGTTAAGAAACAAAACTCCCACCTACTGATATCTGCTTCATGTATATGTAATCTGTATGTACAATATTTGTAGTAGCCCAAGGATTGGCAACAGGTGTGTTGACTATCTACTTTCACTCTAGTCTATCAATTCAAAATTAGGGACAGTTAGTGCAGAAAGCATTTGAGTGCCTTTGAGCAAAATCCGACAAGCAAACAAGTTCAGAGCCATCATTTATATTGGATATGAAGATCTTAAGTTTATATTTTTATTCAAAGGTTAGTTAATGGATTTAGAACTAGATTTTTAGACTCTGATAAGTATACAAATTGTTACCTGCATGTGGATTTGTGTTTCCCCATCTTCCTTTTCTTATGTCTCAGAGTAAATGATCTTATTAATGAATTCAGCGTGTTAACTATACTAGTGTGCAGGTCAAGGCAGGTGGAAGACAAGTTTTAGAAAACAATGATTAGTTTAAGATTAAATAAGAAAAATTATGAAAAAATGCAGGTTAATATACAGATCAAACATTGTAAGAAATATTAATTTTCATTTAGAGGTGAACACTTATTTTAATTTTATTGCAGTTTTAAAATGTAAATTTCCTCTATCCTAATATTGATACTTTCAGGTATCTTGATTGGCTATTGCTAGAATCTATGAGATAAGCGTGCATATTATAAATTAATTGTGTACTTCGTCACAGAATCAGCTTTTCAAACTTAACAGTTAGCCATTGCTAGACCATTTATCAGGTGAGCAGTTGTACAGTAACACTGTCCAATCACAGTATCTAACATTTCATGCTTTAATCCATCTGCAAGTTAAGCACTTACATAGTTTTCTGTGGCCTAATCTGCCTTTTTATTTCAAACTGGTTGTTTACTACTTAGACAGTATCTGGTTTCTGTTTTGTCACCTTTCACATCTTGGCTTGCATATTTTTTGTTGTTGTTTTTTCACATATTTTTTTCCCTGTAAATGTAAAATTCATTTGTAAGGTATACTTTACTACACTAAGCTTCTCACGTAGAGAAGTAAATGACTAGTATTACTGGTAAAAATGAAATTACCTGTAATAGTGTGGTATTCTCAGGTAAAAACCAATTTCCTCCAAGAGTGACAATGCAAGTCCACAAAATAACTGGAGATTTGTTAAGATATTTATCACAAAGTGATTCTGTATTTTCTGATTAACTAAATTCACTATATATGTAGTATTACTTAAAACTAAATATACAGGATTTGAAGAAATAGTTGACTAAACATGAGAGAGTAAAGAATTATATTAATGTTTATCTGTTTTTCTCAATAATTATACTATTGTTAATTTTATCACTTAGGATTTCACATTGTGTTCTTTTACACTTTTAAATTATGAGGTTGTTCTGTATAACTTGAGTAGAACAAGTATTGTAAGTTTACATATATGACTATTTTCATATTTTAGCTCATTGCTGCAGGCATTCAAAGGACAACACTTATGGTTACAGCTGCTACTGCTGAAAATTTTGTTTTTTTTCTGCCTGATCATCTTGGACAGAATGCTTCAGAAATGAACAGTGGCATTCCTGTAGGAGATGGAGCTCTTCTGTTCCCCACGGCTAACCTAACAGTAAGCAAAGAAGAATTCTTTTGGTGAGTTTTATTTCACAAGTTTTGTTAGTTTCTGTGCAAACTGTCTTATGTTAGCACTTAAGTGAAAACAAGAACACTAAAGTTCATTCATTTTAGATTATTTATTAGAGTATTATGGGTTATATAAAGTACAGCTAACAAGCCTTGTAGTCTATTAAAGCCTGTTGTCTAAAATATGGACACTTTAACCCATAAATTACAGTGGTAAATGTTTTGATATAGCTTTATTATAATTGTGTAAAACAATTTCTTTTAAAGAGTTTTGAATGTATTTTATACATTTCATTCATTTTATAGTTTGTGTAGTGCTAATAAAATCAAGCCAGAGCTCTGGTAAAGAAGTGCGTGTTATCCAGTATTTGAATTTTGTATGTTTTATAATGGCAGTAAGTTAACCTATTTATTTATGAGGTGGGCATCGCCTTATGGTTAGTGTACCAGACTGTGATTTCAAGGATCCATGGTTTGTATCCTGTTGCCACAAAATCTCCCTCTAACCATTCTTGTTATGGGTGCATTATAATAGAGATGATTAAATCCCACTATTCAGTTAGAATAACTGAAGATTTTGGTAATGAGTGCTGTTTACTAGCTGCCCTCTAGCTGTCTGTGTTTTCAAAATTGAGGATGGCACAAACTACCAACAAACTTCAACAAAGAAAACCTATATCAAAGTAATATAATATAAGGAAATGTGTAATTATGTCAGTCTGACTATAAAGATTGTTATTTGTTGAACAGCTGAAATGATTACTCTAAAGCCTATATTTTTGAGTAAGATTGTATTTTTTTTTAGAGGTGGCTCTTTATTCATTTGAGGTTATAACATTTTAGTTTTTGTATTGAGGTGTGTTTTTCAGATCTTGAAAGATGAAGGCATGCAAAGTGATTGACCATCACACCAGGTTTCTGGTCTTTAGTCTTAAATTTTTGAACCTGACAAATGGATTACAATAGAAAACTAGTTTCTTTACATTTTGTGACACTCGGTGGATGTGAACTCGCTAGGATGTAAATTGCTGCTTCTTATGTAGTTGGTCTCATTTTCTTAAGTTACACTTATAAATAGATTTGTGGGCTTTTACCTTTTCTTCAAGAGATTAGAATTAGACTATTTTCATGGAATTTTCTGTAATGTTTCCTATAGTATAATCTGTTGTATGTGTATTTAATCTTCTTGTTATGATTAACTGTCTTTTCCACCATATTTCAAGCACCACATATATTCTTGGAATATATACTAGGACTTATTTGCTAACTTGTAGTTGTCGGTGAAATACCTTTTTTGTGGAATGCAGGCATACCATATATTTTCTGTTTTAAAGAAAAATGTTTTTACTTTATTCTGAGTTTATGCAGTTTTTGATTAACTGTTTCACATCAGGTAGGTCACAACTTTTCTCAGAGTTACATTCATAATTTAATTAAACTACTTTACTATCAAATTACCATATACAAATAAACTTTGATTTTGATATTTTGATATTATTTAAGTTTTTAATTTTGTAAGGAAATATTTTTTAAAAAATACTTCAATTTCCTATATTATGAGAACTGTGACATTTGGTATTTGTATCTTTCCTCTTTAATTTATTTACCACCCCTTTGAAAAGTTTGGAATTCAACATAATATTAAAGGCTATAAAAATTGTTTTGCCTGGGCAATGATTATATTATAATAAGTAATTTATTTCGATTCAGAGCCATAAACTAGAAATGAGATCCCTGCCTCACCCATCTGTCACATCATCTCTTTCACAAATTGCCAAAGTTTCAATCTATCAAATGATGTATTATAATACATTTTCTGCACAGATAATTGTCAATTTCACTTCCAATTCAAGCATGATTCCCACAGGAAAGACATTGAGCTTAGTTGAATTTCTAACAGCTCTTGTTGCATAGTTAGAAAGCAGAATAATTGTGATAGTTATGGGACATATTCTGCTTTTTGCATGATATTATTCTGTCTTTTTTGGAGCATTATTTAATGAAATAAAACATTTATTACAGTAGTACCATTAGTATAAAAAAAGTAGGGTTAAGTGTCATCAATGGTCAACAGAAAAAACAAAGATGACCCAGGTAACTACTTTATTTCTTGTTTTTCATGTGAATTCTTTATTCATTATTACAAAAGTAACTAAAATGTAAAAAATAGAAACTTTAGGTTATATAAGGTTAGGTTAGATAAAATAAATAATAATAACAAAATGTTTCCATGAGGTGATGTGAGCTGTAAGTTTGTCAAGTAATTTAAAAATTTATGGAAGGAATATTGTTTTTTACATGATTCAAAGGGCAATATAAACAGATGTATACTGTTACAAGTTTAAAGCTATTTAGAATAAACAAATCAAGTTTCATATTACAATTTGAAGTCATTCCAGAAAGAAAAAAGGGTAATTTAGATTTTTTTTTTTTTTTGGGTGGTTACGAGGTCAGTCAAATTGACCAATCTCATATAAAGTTAAAGAAGAGAAAATAACAGATGATATATAAAGTTTTTTGAAAAAAAACATTTGATATTTTCTTAGGAAATTTTAGGGATTATGCAAATGAAATTTGGAAATTTTCAGAGGAAGAAAAGTATTCTTAATCTTAATATGAAATTCACTGTGCACTCGGAACAGTCAACACTCTGACACCATATAATTAAACAGAAAGTTTTAGTGAAAATATTTAATAAGAAATTTTGATTTTTTGTGTACTTTGAAAGTTTACTGAAAGCTTGCCAAATTTCGTGAAGATACAATAAATACTTTCAGAGTTATAGTGTATACAACCATAGTTACATGTGGTTACAAGGTTCTGTAAAATACAGGTACCTGTTCCGATATGGTTAACGTATGGTCCAGAAAACTTTGGTATAGAATTTTTTCTAGCTGCCTTTGTTTTTCTGTGGAGATACCTACTCCATCCAAGGGGAACTTTTACTGTAATGCTGCTGCACATTGTGCAAAAAGGTCATTAACAGCGGTGTTCTTTTATTGGGAGGGTGAATGATATCTAGAGGTTACGGCCTTCCCATGTTGAATGAGAATGAACAGTGAAATGGGTATCGCTACCTGCAATGGATAAACCCGACATTTTCTTTTAAGTAAAAAACATTAGACTTAACAGCATACACAGGATCTCAAGTGAGTTCATTGATGAGAAAACATTTCAAAGGAAAAAGCCAGTTAATTCAGGAATTCAGTAGCATTGTTCTCATTCAAGTATTCACACTGTGTTTTTGTCTATCAGATATTAGTTCAACCTGAGAATGCCACATTTCTGTCAAAACTATTCTTGTTTTTTGTCAATTTCTTGTTGAGCAAACCATCACTTTGTTGTTATGATGTTACATAGGTTATGACATCTTAAAACTGTAATTATATTAGTAATATTAACTCCAATGGTCATTTTATTCCTTTATAAGTAAAACCTTAAAGGTATGAAGCCATAGAACAATATAATAAATGAATCTGTTAAATGAAAGAAGGAAAGGAACTTGCCCCTTTTTTTAGGTTTATCAATATTTAATGTACTAGCATTTCTTTGAGAGTACCATTAGCTTTCTACAGCTCCATTTTGGTTAACAATTAGCCTTAAGATGATTTACACCTGTGCATTTCCGTAGTAAAGTCATCATCTTTGAGAAACTGTAGATGTTTTTAAGTTACAATGTTCTGTGGAAACTAACTCTTAATATTGTGAGAAGTAGTGCATTAGTTACACTAAAATATTTTCTACTTTCCAAAAAACATAATTAAAGAACAAATCTTTCAGATAGTTACTTAAGTTTTCACACTTTTACTCAGTTTTCTTAGACTGTCTTTTACAATATGCTCTGACAAGTGAAAATTCTTGGTAGAACAAAGCAAAGATAAGCTCTGCTAACAATATCTACTCATTTCTCCATAGTTTCTTTGTGTTTTTTCATATCTTTCTCTTCAAGTAATGTTTATATTTTCAGATTGTTTCAAAAGAGCAGTTTTAATGGCCTCACCAGTGTTTATTGATCCTGTTGCTACTTCTAACAAGTCTTTAATGTCTTATCATATTCCTTGTGGAAACTGGTAATCTTTGTTATTAAATTGTTGTCTGGGAAACAAAATGAAAAGCAGCTATGCTGTCAAACTCACAGTAGTATAAAAAACTTAACAGTTTCAAGTGTCTTTTAACTTTCTTAATGCTTTTTGAGGTGGTCCTCGACAGTTTATACAAATGTTTTATTATTTTTTTGTAGGGCTTTATTGCACAGCCCTTTTGTTGATCCTTCATTAGTTAGTCGATTATGGGTTTACAACCATTATCGCTGGATTGTTTGGAAATTAGCAGCTATGGAAGTAGCTTTTCCTGACATCCTTGGAGGCAGGTAAGGTTTCATTTCAAAATTGGTTCTTCTGTGACAAAGTTAGGGCATGCATTGAGTAATTATTTGTAATGTGAGCATTAATGGCTCTACAAATATTAACTTTTGGTGTAAAAGGTAGATTTTATATTTTATCATGAAAACTAATCAAAGTAAAGCTTACTTTTTGTTGTTATTTTTTTGTTTTTGTTAAACAACACTATAACCTTCAACATTTGTTATGACACTGTTTAAACTATTTTCAAAAATATGGGCTACAAATTCCCCAGAAAGAATTGTATTTCTAAATGCAAAAGACTTGTATTGTGCTTTGTCAAATGCATTTGAATAAATTAATGAATTTCATTTGTATATTGCCCAGAAGGTCAAACATTTGATATTCAGTGTTGCAAGTTCCCACAATCCTCGAGTAATGCAACTGCATTATGTTACATTGGGATGCTATAAAACCAGTTTTGTAAGAGTCCCAGTTTTGGAGATTTGTGTGTAAATTCTTTGAAATAGAATGGGAGTCAATTTATTGTTGTTGGACAGCTTGATTTCTCAGTTTAAGATATAAGAAGATGTGATATATATCCTTACTTCTAGATAAATTATTTTATTATAACTTATTATTTAATGTAATTAAATGCAACCAATTTAGTTGTTTATGGAACAAAACATTATTTAGTGTAGGTTTTATAGAAGCATAGTGAAATTTGTTTCAGTTTTGTATTGGATAACAGATTTTAGAAGAAAAAAGTTATTAACCCAATAAACTTTTATATGAAAAAGTTGATAAGTGAAAAAATACTCCAGGAACAGGGCTTGAACCCAGGACATTTGGTTAACAAGGGCAGTCTTCTACCACTGAGCTGTACAAGAGTACAAGCCTCCTCATCACTATTCGCTTAATAATCTACTTACTATGAGTATAATCATACTGTTACGATCAGGCAATTAGTAGATTGATTTACCACCACCCAACCAAATTTTTCATGTTTTATATTAAAAATTGTCCTTCTGTTGTTTTCATTAAAGTTAAGTGTGTGCTTATTAGTAGGAAGTTTTTCCAATGAACATTTCTACTGAACTATTGAGTTAGGTTACTCAAGTAAAGAATGTACATGCCATTTAATTCTACCCAGTATACAAACAGTATACAAATGTAAAAGATAATGATACCACTTTTAATTTACCATAAGATACAATTGTATAGGTATAAATCATCATGAAATCAGTTAATATTTGATTTATATACTCTTCTATTTGTGGTAGGAAATGTACTATAATAGTTTACATTAAGTAGCTAACCTACAACATGGAAACTTTAGAACTGCATTAGTTCCAGATAAGTTGATAATAATAGTTCTTTTCTGTGACATTCCTTATCATTGAAAATGGTCTGTTTAAAGCTGATGTAGTTTGAAATTGCTGTTTTCATATAGTCTTGGTTTGGGTGTAAGTGAAGTTCTTTACTTAACAATCAGTCAAATATTGAGTGCTAGATTTAGTTTAAGAGATGAACAGTTTAAGTATAAGAGTAGATATTGTTATGGTAAAGACAGTTAATTTCACTTTACAAGAGTTGCTAGTCAAGGTACTATGGGGAAAAGTATTATAATTTATCTACTTGATTCCTGATAAATTCACATTTAACAGCAAAATATTTCCAGAACAGTCCAAGCTGGAGAAAGATGCTGAGATTCTTTGCTGAGGATGCATGTTTACATAGCAAAACTGATGAATAATGTATTGCATAAAAGCAGAGCATTTAGGACAGAAAAGAGCTCTTAAATCACACCCAAAGCAAATCTGGAACAACACCCTTATCTGCCTAGTGAAAACTGGAGTTAAGGAAGAAACCTCTGACCCAAAAACCATTGCAATAAAACTAGGCATATCTCTTGCTATAGTTAATGAGATAAAGAAGGATTTGAGGTTGAAAAAAAAAGTTAAAATCCAATTTTTCACAAGCTTTAGGCTATAAAATCACATCCCAGCCAGTGTAGATCACACCCCTCAATCCATATTGTGAAGGTTATGGTTAAAAAAGAGAAACCTCTGAACCAAAAAGCCATTACAAAGAAACTGGGCATATCTTCTGGTATTGTTAACTGGATAATAAACAAGAGTTTCAATTGAAAGAGTCACAAAATCAACAGCTGTTTTCACAAGAAACATGGCCAAAGACACTGCAATGACAGCAATTTTCTTTGACCACATATTAATCAAGTATCTCGCTGTAGCTTCAATGGACTTGTCTGTCTTTTGTCTGCTTAAACATTATCTTGAAAACTGACTTCCATGTACAGTGAAGAATCTATGAAAAGTTTCTTAAAATTAGTGGTCTGAGGTTGATCTCGCTGTCCTTCATAGAAATATGTTTTAAATGAAATTGTAGTGTCAAACAATATCACATGATCATGGTCATAAAACTGAGCATGTCCAAAGAAGAAGTAGTTCCAAGGAGAACATTAGAACTGGAACATTTTTCTTTGAAAGTGTAATTAATTCTCAATTTATTAAGTATCACATATATCCTTATGCTTATTGTTTATTTTCTGATCATTAGCAAATTCTTAAGAGTCAGTGTATACTTGTATAACTACTCTAATTTTTACAACTTTTTTGATTAAGACACCATTCACTTTAAATATGAGAATGCAAAAGTTTTATTATCTGGTGACTGTGCAATGTACAAATTATTTTTCAAACATTTTTACTTTTTAATGAAACAATAACATTATTTTAATAAGTTTTATTGATAACATATAATAATAAAAATAATATAAAATTTCAAATATCTTTGCATTTGCTTACAAAATTGTTTATAGGTATACAATTTTATGCAATACAGTGAAATCTATTAACATTTTGCATTCAGTCGTGGTCTTTGACAAAAGCACGTAAGCAAATAACTGGTATACCACTTGCAAATTGTACAAGTTCTTGAAAATCCCTTTTAAGTTGTAAAATATTTAAAAACGTTTGATTAAAATATTCAGTTAATGAATTCTGTACATCTTCATCAGAGCACTAGTTTCGGAATATAAGTATTGTGCTGTAACATAGTTGCTACTATTATTGTTGTGTATGGGATTATCTTCTTGATCTAAAAGTAAAGTGTGCAAATTTTCTTTGAATTCATCAAAAAAGGGTGTTGTTAAAAGAGGAAAGAAGCATACATATCTGCTTTATCTAAAAGGCATTGTTCAAACTTGATAGCTAAAGAATTTATCAAAAGTTCTTATTCTGAAAAAAATTACACCATGAAATTAAGAACAAATAATAGTTTTGTATGTAAATTTCTACTGTTTTTTTCCTCATTAATTTCAATTTAATATCTTAGTGCTCATTGCCTGATAAAATAATTAAGAAATTAGTTTAAATATTTTTAACATTTTTTTTCACAGGCTTTTTGAGTTTTTGGCAGAAACATGCAAATAATTTTAAGTATGGTAGTAGGGATTGACAAGAATTCCAAATAATCTACATGCCAAAAAACAACCCTATCGAATTCCTAAGCACAAAAACCGACCACTCAAAGTGTAGGTTACAATATATTATGCATATGTATACTAATGATATGCTAAAAAGGTCACTAACATTTCTGATATAACAATTCAAAAAGTTTTTAAAACAGCAACTTTTTCGTCTACTATCTACCTACCTGTTTCTTCTAATTAACAAAATTGATGCACCTGGCTGTTTCAAAGTTGATGTGAACTGTGCACAATAGCCTATTTTACTAATGTAGAAGGCATGACCGGTAGGAAAGGTAGAAAATAAAGTATATCCAGCATTCAAAGTCTTGCAATTTAAAGATTGATTTTCTCGACTACATATTTTACAGTGTATTATGTAATTAATGATTTATTAATTCTTGTGTCAGTAAAGTCTTTTATAAGCTAAGTTCTTCTAAGTTGCTTTCTTTTTGTTAAAAATTAATCCTGTACTTTGGCATATTTTCCCACAGGCAGACTAAGCCCAAGCCTAGGGTGGCAAAATTCCAGTAGCATAGCTTATAAGAAATGAAATGAATGAAAACATGTAGCGAACACAACACTAATAACACACTCAGCATTTTATTTTTGCTTATGTCTTCACTGATTAATTTTAGTGTTGAAACCAAGATCTGTAAAATATTTTGTAGCTTTTGGTTGAGACTATGTTGGGTCTATGAGCGTGGGGGCAGCACTTGTAAATGGCTCTAGGGGTGGCAAAACTTTAATATTTCACTGTTACTGTAATTTTCAGATACATTGATTTCCAACAAGACAGGGTCAAGTATCTACATTACACAGCAGGTTCAGGAAATTTTAAGCAGAAAATAAAATAAACACAGGCAGAAAAATAAAACGAATTACAATAATCAAAAAGATATAAACCATCAATTCATACTAACTTGCATTGTCATGTTCCAATCTTGGAAGTGAGTACAACCTCACTTCCAAATGATATGTCCACCTACAGAATAACTTGGTCCTTTATGCATATACCTATGAGATTTGCACACCACTAGCTTTGAGCTAACTCCCACCTAACAATCGTGTTTTTACGTAAATTACATTAGTGCATCATGCGAGAATAGCCCTCCAACCTTCTCACACGGCAACTCCCCCAAACACTCAAAATAACTTCATCCTTTTCCTTGACATTGTCTCAAATGGTTGTGTTTTTAAAATTATTAATCAATTACATGAGGTTTGGGATAGCTTATGTAACTTGGAATTTCATTCAAGTTTAACTGTTTTCTTCTTTACTAAAGAACAAAAAATACAGATTATTTTTCACCTTCTTACCCATTATAATTCTCAAGCGATTGTAACTTCCACCTCACCCTGTAATGATGACATTGCTACTAACATAGGACCTGTGGCTTCTGGAGTCTTGTTGCCTAGAGGCCATGACATCCATTGTTCAATGAGTTATGGGTTACCTCCTCCTCCTCCTTCCATCCATTTGACTAACATTCCTTCTCCTCAGTTTGAACATGACCAGGATGAAGATTTTTACTAGCT